AGAGAGAAAGAGAGAGAGAGAGGGAGTGCCAAGAACCAGATAGAGACGGGCAGTGGACAGGTTAAGCAAAAAGAAAACTGGGACTGGAAACCACTTGCAGGGACTCAGGCGTCACTAGATGCTAGCCTAATACGCGACATGTCATCAGAATTTCAAGAAAGGCTCATCGCGACCAATATGCCTTGGACGGCACTCGAGATTCAGCCAACTTTTCCGAAAGATCGAAACACCCCCGCCTCGACAAAGTATCCAATGCAAGAATTACTTCCTTGGCCCGGCACCTCAAGCGCTCAGTGCTTGCCCTGAGAGCCATCCGACACCACGCCAGTCTCGCCCTTCAGGCACCTTTCCGTGTCTACCCTTTCCGGGAAACAACCAAAAAATTTCGAACAGGCGCCGTGCCGGCCTAAAACCCAAGCACTTGAAACAGATCTTTGTTCTGCTCCAGGCAGCCTTCACAGTAAAGCACCACATTTATTCGTGCTCCGTACTGACCCAATCGCTGGCTCAAGTAGTGTCTCATGCAGAAGAGACACCAGGCCTGAAAGCTGTCGCCACGTATTGTTAAGCTCTTGAAGGACCCCTGTGATGCCATGTTCCCCAGAGCAGTTTCCCATCCAGGCAAATCCTGACTTTCACAAATTCGATCCCTCCAGCCCCTCAGTGCTGTGAGAGCTACACAGTGCTGCAACGACAGCTAAGCAACACAAATCCCCCCTGATACGCTAAACCCCAGGCGGCCTCTCTGCGCAGGCCTTGACGTTTTCGGCCTAGAAAGCCGGGTGCAGGAATGCTTCGCGTTCTGGAGGTCTATCCTCGAGGTTCGTGGTTTGCTGCAGGGTCCTCTCACATGTGAGCCTCCACTTTGGGGTGGGTCTGTGGCCACAGGTATACCAGGACCTGATTCTGCGTTTTCTCACTGGCTGGACAGGCGGGTTCCTTCATAAGCTGATCATGGATACCCACCTGTCGATGCTCACAAGCGCGGCTCAGTCTCCACTTCAAGTCTGAAGCTCCCCTAGATCCAACCGGTAAACTTGCTACTCCAACAACTTTGACAACGAAACGAATCCTGAGAGTCTGAAAGTGATAAGCCTTGTCGGCAGAATACGCCTTCTCCATGAGCGAAGTCTGAACCCGAACGCCAGACCGAACCCGATCACTCCAACTCCTTAGAGAACAATAAAACTCAACTTGCTGAGGCGAAGACATTGAAGCCAAACTTGTCCAGGCAGGTACCGCCGGGAGCCGATGCGCCGAAGACGTTGATGCCCACCTTCCGTAATGGCGGTCGGCGTTCAAACGAGAACTGCTAACAGGAAATACGAAGGCAATTACATATAACAGGGCTTGGGAGGACTGCTGCTGATGCTGCTGCTGCTGCTGCTGCTGCTAGCTCAGTGCTTTCGGCTACCGACGGGATTCAGAGGTGGTGGTGGTGGTGGGTACATGAATGCATATACATGTATAGATATATGTATATGTATGTATGTTTGTACCCATGCATACATGCATGCATGCATGTGTGTGCGTCTGTAGGTACGAATGTATGCATGAATGAATGAATGTATGTATGTATGCATGCCTGTAGGTATGTATGTATATTTCCGAATTATATATGCTGATACACACTATGGCACTATGGGGTCCAACATTCGTCACAAAGATAATTGGTCAGGGTGAGCATGGGCACGGTGCGGGAAACGTTCACGCCTCCCGCCGTGCAAGATGCATAAAATGCGCTCATCATGTATATGTACACAGGATTCGCTGGAGACTGCCTCCTGAAAGCACGATTCATTGTAAAGCCCAATGCGCGGGCCACCTTGACGGCCTCGAAAACTCTGAATCCCGCCGGTACTTGCGGCACGAGCGCCGTGCCCTAAGTCCCGCAAGTGCTTGGGGGAGCATTGTGGTGGTGCTCCTGAATCCCACCAGACTTGGGGGAAGCAGCTTGGCTGTGGTGTGCTCGTAGTCTGCTGGTGGTCTCAAGCAGTCTCTTGGTGGTTTCAGGGTGGTGGTCTTGTTTTGTTGTTGTTGGTCCTGGTTGTTTCGGTCGTGGTGGTTGGTCGTCGTGGCTGTGCTCGTGATGGTCGCCATTCGACATGCTCGTCTTGGTCGTCCAGGTGCTCTATCACTGTTCAGCGCTGTTCCGCTTTCATCATGCATATGCGAATGTCCAAATAATTGATTTGGATGTATGTCTGTACACAGACATATACACACATGTTTATATGTATACCTGCATATATACATACATCTGTCTGTCTGTCTGTCTGT